AAGAATAAGAAAATGTAAATTTTAATGCTAATTTGGAGTGTGAACGTTTTTTTAAAAAAATGTTGATTTATTTTTTTCCTTTTAGCAACTTAGATATTTTTGTATGGATGTTCAAAAAGGAAATAATTGTGAATGTGAATATGTGAATACTCATATATAATTAATAACTTTTAAATTCAAAATAATTTTTTTTACAAAATACATTGGGTACAATTATTTTATGACAACAGACACGTAAGAAAATTATAAAAAAAATTGATGTACTAAACTTATGGATCGAAGACGGAAATAAACAGCAAGGCAGTCAAATGCCAAATGACGCAAAATAGTTTCTGAGTCGGAGGATTCATGCACCTTCTAGTTAATGCTTTGAAAATAAATATTTAATATTTTTCAACCAACGGGTCGCGTCCCTGCCGAGAATAATTTTTTTTTTAAATTAAAAAAAAAATCTTTCGCGATCCCTTTGAAGGGTATATAAGCAAAGCTTTCTAAACCAGACAAGCCAGTAAGGAGATACATGCGACAACAGTTTATAGAATCGTCCATATTTCATACTCACCTCCGAGATAAAATACACTCTTCCATCAGAATCAGTTTTAACCAACCAACACCTCGCATTGCAAATCTAGACTTTCTATTGGTCGAGACATGTAACAATTGTCGAAAAACTGTTTTCGCGCCCAGTTCGCTGGAGCCTATTTTGGTTTCCAGAAACAAATAAAAAGGACCATCTTGACCCAATTCACCAATCAGTCAATAAACTTCAGAGAGATGCCACACAAATCCACGCGTGTCACTACTTTGACTTAAGATACTTTTCGCGCGTCAACTGCTGACTCAAACATCAACATCACATCTGACTTACAACTTTCTAAGAAAAGTGTTCTTATACACTACTAAAATAGAAATTGTATTTTAAACAAAGACAAACACAGAACAATCCAAGGTAAACAACTCTCGAGAATTTAGACAATTAAACCCTACGCATACAAACTCCTACTTTATTCACGCATACAAACTACACAAATTTCTGTATAAATAAAATGTTCCATTTTACTCTATTTGACCAGTTCTTAAACACTTGAACAATTTTGAACTGTAAATCAATGGGCAATTTCTTGCATTATCAAACTACAAGTTTTCAAATTGTATATTAATTGTACATAAATGCATGTTGTTTTATTGACATCTCATAATCGGTGTTTCTTACTCAATTGCCTTGTGATTGATTCGTTTTTGCATATCTATATTCTATAGTGTTGCGGATTAATATGGTGAACATGCCCGTAAACTAACCATCTTAATATAAAAACCTTCTGATACAAATTCAAACTCATAGCAATCCAAACGAGTTCACGTCGAAGAGATTCCCTTTCTCATTGTTGGAATTTAATTTGAGAACAATATTTTACAAGTTCACATTCTAGTTATTTTTTTCTATCCTCATTCCTATTGGGCTCGTCTATTAGCCCAATCTTACCTTCTTTGAGTAATGCACTATTCCAACTTTCATTCGTAAATCTAGCCCTCTGATTGGTTCATTTCTACCAATCAGGTCGCCCGCACGTGCACTTCGAAGTTTTGGCGCAAAATCGTTCCGGATCACCCCACGTGATCATGACCTCTTAAAAGGAACCCAAAGCACGTGTGACCACGCAGGCGCAGAGCAGAGGCAGAGGCCAACGGAGACACAGACCTGAGCAAATCAGCAGCAGACCATTTTTCGACCGCTTACTCAAGCTTAAAAATGTGACGACTACAATTCACCGTCTCGCTAATCGAGACGACAAATCTTTACCGTTCAATATCTTCTACGAACTTCTTCGTCATTGGGAACACGCTAAGCACAATACACGTACATACGAACACTCACCACAACACAACGCGCACACACGCATAATATTTACCACACACACTCTGTCAATGTAACTGTCCATGTAACTTGTACCTTTCTTGTTGTTATTAATACATATATTTGTTTACATATATTTATCGGTCTTGTGTTTGTTTTTTCTTTGCCTTCTTTGGACTTTATTAAAGTCCAGCTTTCTTATGTAGTTGGACCGGCTAGCAGGAAATTTCTACCCACATGTATTCATTTACTTATATTCAACAACATCGCCGACGTGCGAAAATCTACATAATGGTAACTCCGACATACGGTCCTATACACTCCAACCTTACTTTTTACTTTCAAAACCGGCTCCCAAAGCCTTCGTTCTTATCAGAGATAAGAATATATTTTCTGACTAACGAGGAAGCAGGAAAATACAAAAAGGAATTCCACACCATTATTCTTTCCATGGTACCATAAAGTCTGGGGAAAACCTCACAGCTTGTTCACTCCAATCTATTTTCATTACTTGCAAAACCGGCTCCCAAAGCTTTGGTTCTTATCACAGATAAGAATCTGTTTTCTGACCAATGAAGAGGACAGGAAATGTGTATAACGATTTTGGAAGGAAAAGTCCTCGATCCTTCTGAGCCTCCCAAATCTCCACAAATTTGGAGAATCTACGCCTATTTGGCAGTGAGAATTCAGCCCACCGTCTGTAAGGTCGACGATAGAAATCACCAATCAACTTCAGAACTACTTTCAACCAAAGAAGAACTTCCTGCTGGGCTGGAAGGACAGACCGTCAGCCCACTACTAAAAACGAATTGAAAGCTCCATCCCTTCAGCTCTCCTTCTGTTGTGCCCACTGGACTTCTGTTGTCGACCTACGAACTCACTCAACTGCAGAATTCCTATATCTACTAACATTTTTCTACTCTACGAGAACTGTGAAAAAAACTGTGAGCGTGTAGCGATTGCTATGTTTTTCCACGCCTACATTTTATTCGCTTGCGATTGGCTAATAAATCACTACTACTTTTATGTATGACAATTTAGCCATCGCAGTCGTTTCTTTGAATTCTTCGGTTTTGAGCTTGCTTGCTTGTTCTGTTAGTATGAATGTAGTGATTGGTATTTTTTTTTTTTTTTTTTTTTTGTATATGTAAACAAACACTTTCTTCTTTTGCTGTTACAGGCCGAGCAGGAGTTTTTTTCTTCTTTATTCGTCCGCACCTAAAAGAGAGAGTTTGTTCGCTCTAATCTTGCTGTTTTACTCGCGTTATGTCGCAGTTTTTTAACCTGCACCCTTTTGAAGCCGGGACAAATTTCCCTGCATTATTCACCCGTCTTACTCATCAAGTTACGTGGCATTTACACTTCCCTTCTCAATTTCCCCCTTGCCTCTTGTTTTCTCATACATACACGTAAAGAAATCACATTTCTTTTCATCTTAACAAACAGCTACAAACAAGGAATGTAAGAATTTTAACACTCATATACGCTATGAAAAGTTTAGTTGTAAAAACGAAAATAAAATATATTATATTTAAAAGCCTTTCTTGCCTTTTTCTTTGTTTTGGGTTGATTCAAATCTGAAACAAACTAAAAATACGTCTAATGAAAAAATAAAATTATTATTATTCATTAGGTTTCATAAAACTAAAAGCGAATAGAATAAAAACTTATATTCTTAAACTATTGGTTATATAAGTTTAAAGATAATTAATTTTTAAACATGAATATCAATTTCTTGATTATTGCATTGTAAGTGTTCCGTATTTTCTTTTTTGTGCGCTTTTTAAGAGAGGGGTTATATGAGAAAATTAATGTGACCTTTGATATCACAGATTACTGTGCGTAAATAAACGTTATTTACATTGTTTTATGGTTAAGCATTACATTCTTACAACATCCACTTAAAAATAAATCCTTAAATAAATGACTTTGAAACAAATATTGGATTTTTAAGAGAATATTTTTTCGTCTATAACGGTGGTATGAATAACAAGTGAATGGTGAACATGAGCGTTTTAAAAATGCCTAAGTAAAAACTTTAAGGAAATTATTTTTCTTTTAATTCGGAATAGCTTTGGTTGGGCGATCACTCTTTCAAAATAAACCAAAATTTAATGTCAAAGAACACATTTTTAAACTAAAATGCGTTTTGGATTTGTTTTGTTATTTAGGATTCCGTGGCGGTGACGTTACCTAAAATAAAAATTAAAAACAAAATGTTTTTATTTTTGTTTTTCGTAAAAATGTAAATTATTTATAGTTTTTAATTTTATATCACATATTGAATGTTTATTGTGACTCGCTGCTAAAGCCGATTACTACATTTATCACTTCGTGCTAAAAATTCTATTTGGTCGGTTGCTATTTGTGTTACTGTTGTCACTACAAGATTTATTTATCAAATGTCAGCAGATATTTTTTACTTTGCCCGTTTTATTTCTTAAAGAAATATTTCCATTTGGCACTTACCTTTAAACTTAAAAAATAAAGCTAAAACTAAAAAGCGTAACAATCTGAAGTCAATTTTAAAAAAAAGATCAATTTAGCGCTTTAACTTTTTCTTCATTTCTTCGTAAAAAGTTTTTTTTTTTACTTTGTTTATAAACAAATCAAACCTTTTCCTTTAGTTTTACTTTTAAAACTTTATTTGACCAGTGTGTAAATTTGATCAGATTTTGTTAGATTATAACTCCACGAATCTTCCATACCACGAAAAAAGTCACTGTTAGTGTTACTGTTACATTAAGAAATTTTCTAAGAGTAGTATTTGAAATAAATATCGACGAGGAGCATCGAAAGTACGTTATATCGCGTGCGACATCAGACACCGTTCTTTTTAGTTTTTTAGCAGTTTCATTGTGGGATGGCAGCTACGTTGTTTATCATAAAAATTCCAAACGAAAAAAGAGAATTTGCGCCTGATGAATTTAAAGATGATAAAAATATGGACATTTCTGGAGTTATAAAAATCAGTTCAAGAAATTGCTCTGAGGAAACTGCTTCCAACGTTTCCGACCTTGAAACTGATGCTTCAAAAGTAGAAAAAAAAGATTCTATAACTCAAACTGTCTTATCAAAAGTTTCTTCTGAAAATATCAACAAAACTAATGAGTTTACAAACAATGAAGATATTTTTTCTGAGCCTATGACAACTTCACCAGAAAATGTAAACGAAGGAAAAACTGGGAAAGAATGTCCAAGCAATGAAAGTACCGAAGAAATTAACAGCGCAACTATAGAAACATTGGCCCCCAGATCACCAGAAATAACTATGTTAGATTTCATAACTAAGGAACCACTTGAAACGGTGAGTATTTTTCATCTGAATTAAACTAAAGTTTATGTTTAAAATTACACTACTACAGTAATTTAAAATTTTAATTTATCTTCAAATATTTATAGTGTTCAGTTAGTTTTTAATTCCTGTTGATCGAAAACGGTGAAAAATGTAGTAAAAAAAAACAATCTTCTCAATACATGGCACTGGCAGTAACTCAAGTAAACAATATTGTTATTCTTTTTTCCTCGAAATTAAAATTTCACACATCACAGTCGGGCGTAAGTAGGTAAAAAAGGAACTCTAACAATGTTTCTCCGAAAAAGTCATGCAGTAAGCGCATATGTAATTTTATTATTTCTATTGTAAATATGTTGTTTTTTTGTTGTTTTTTTTAAATTAAAACTTAAAAGAAAGAAAAATAGTAATTCCTAAATCCTTAATTCACAATCTCACGGTAGTTGGGCGTCGACTCTAGTACCCACACAGCAATAATGAGTTCGATAAAATTTTCGATGGCTTCCCCATAGCTAGGTACAATTTTCAGTTTTTATAGGCTTAACTTTAATAGAATATTTTAACTCAACAGCCCATAAGCTTCAGGAATAAGACAAAAAGAGAAAAAAATAAACGAATACTGATAGCTTTATAAACCTAACTAACTAGAGACGCATGGTATGCTTACCTTTTTTTTTTAACTTACTTATACTTTATGAGATCTTTCGTTTTATCTTTTTTACAGGAACGAATATTTTAAAAATATGCTCCAGCTTGAATACTTAATATTTAATAATAATAATGTGCGTATACTTCTTTTTAGAGATTTGCCACACCCGTTCTCAATTTGAACAACAACAAAAAAACACATACTTTTATTTTGTTGCGAGATTCTCCTCAGAACTTTGTTGTGTAGTAGTTCCAAATTGATCCATATACAACAAATGACATGTTTATTATTTTACAATTTAAAAATACTTAGTGGGGTCCAGTTTGCAATTTTTAAATTGCAATTTTTTTTATTTATTTATTTTTTTTAATTCGTCATCTGGAATTATTGCTTAAGCTCTCCCGATTACGAATGAAAAAAAAATTACGTTTTAAAATCAGGTTTGTTTTGGCTTCTGTAGACTTTTACAATGGAAACTAGATCCCACCACACCTACCTTAACTTTTATAAAAAAAATTTTATAATACTGATCGGGAGTGTCCAATCTCTAGGGAATTAAAGACTTTATTTTTAATCCAACATTAATTTCTTATTATAAAAATGACGTTTAGAGCAGTAAGTGCTTTCTATGAAGAAAAAAATGTGATTTCTAGTTGCAGTGCCTACTTACATCATTTAAAAGTCACAAAGAATTATTCCATTATTTTTTTTTTTTTTTTAACGCAGCAACATTTATTGTTTTGTTTATTATTGGGAGATTTGAATCAACCCAAAACAAAGAAAAAGGCAAAGGTTTTTAAATATAAAAATATAAGATATTTTTATTTTCGTGTTTTTTACAACTAACTTTTCCTCAGCGTGTACACGTGTTAAAGTTCTTTGTAGTTGTTTAAGATGAAAAGAAATGTGATTTCTTCACATGTATGTGTGAAAAAAAAAAGAAACAAGGAAGAAAGTGAGGAAGAAGAATGTAATTGTTACATAGCTTGGTGAGGAAGTGTGTAAATGTCACGTTGCTTGGGGAGGAAGACAGGTAAATGAGTAAGGGAATCTCTGTGAAGCCGTGATGTCAGGTAATCTGTTGTTATATGTTGTCATTCCTTCTCTTTACTGATTTTGTCCATGTAGAGACTTTACTTAAATACACTTCAAGGGATCACAAAGCATGTTTTTATTGTCAGTAGGAATGCAGTGAGAACCCATTGGTTGAAAAATGTTAAATATTTATTTTCAAAGGATTAATTTATTAACCAGAAGGTTGCACGGATCCTCCAATTCAGAAACCATTTTTTGTCGTTTGATGAGTGACTGTCTTGCTGTTTATTTCTGTCTTCACTCCACAAGTCTGTGTACTGTAAAACATATCCATGTGAAAGACAATCAAAAACTTGGAGCTGTCAAAACTGGGTAAAGAGATTTTAGTCCAGGTTAAAATTTCTACTGTACTAGTGTTTCCTGAGATAAGGGTACCAAAAGTGAAATCAGTGAGCCAAGTTCAGCTTCCACCATAGCCTGTTTTATTCAATTCATGAAAAGTCTGAAGCCACCTCTTCTCCAACCAGCTAGCAACAGCTAGTTTACTATGCCAGAAGTAACATTCTGAATTCAAAACTATATTTTTATATTCTCCCAACTCATGGGGAAAACATGCAATTCAGATGTTCCATTGCATGTTGCCAGTTCATAACATCATAATACAGGGTTTTTTTTTTTATATACAATAGACATTTCAATAATCATTTCTTTTATTAATACAATATTTGTTATATAAACATAAATCAATTCTTTATTAATACAATAAGTATTTCCATCATTCAATACATCAAAAAAATAAAAAAGGGAAATTAATACCCTCAAGATGTTAGTGTAAACATGATAGTTGGTGTTTACTTGACAATTAACTTTCTAGAACTATTCAATAAGAATAACTTCACTGGGTGTGAAATATGAGTCCTTGATATATTATTATTATTATTATTGATATACCCTTTGGCATTATTATGGTTGATTATTAGTGAATGCATCTATAAGTGTCCTCCCGTTTTTTTTCTTTTTTTTTTTTAGACACTTGTAAATTTGTTAATTCAATTCAAATTATGCCCTTTTATTGGCTAGGCATAGATTCTTTGCTCATGTGTTATATGTACACTATTATATTTATTGTTTAATAAATTTATTTTCTACCCTTGTTAACCAAACATGCAAGCTTCAACACCACCTGTCCTCTGGTGGCAGTCACTGGCAGGCCACCAGTGATAACATTGCCAAGACAAACATGGTAAATACTAGTGGCATGCTACCCAAATGCAGATTGATGGCTTGTAGAGAAGGTATTTCAAGTATTAATTATACCAATTAAAATGACAATACTCATTCTTTTGTCATTTGTATTTATTTTCATGACACTACATTTTATTATTTATTCATTGCATAGAGTTTAATTGTGTTGGACCCCATTTATGTTTTTATGAGTGCGTGCAAGAGATTAAAATAGGATACTTTCAGTTAAACCTGTAATGAGTTGGTCAGTCAACTTGAAACCCCCAAAGCGAGTGGAGGTGGGCAGGCGTGGGAACTGTGATTGGTAGCTGGCTTGTTGGTGTTTTGCATAGGTGAGTTACCAAGCTCTATGTAAAGGGCTGGAATGAGAAGGAGGGCAGTTTTCAGTCTCAGAAGTGGAGACTGTGTCCGTCGCTACGACAGCAGGAGAGAAAGAGACGAAATCATTTATTTTTTCGTGACACATTCCAACACAAAACCATATAATCTTCTCATAGTAGCCAGTCATCATGAGGCAGATCAAATGTTCAAGAGTAGTTTGAAATGCACTTTGGTTGGCTCTTCTTTTGAGAAATGTTTTCTTCAACCAGAATTATTATTTGATCCATGCCCTGTTGATGTTGTTTATACATATTGCTGGATCATTTCTTTAAAGTATTGGTAAACTTCAGCCATGGTAATAAATAAGACACAAATTCTATTGCCTGTTGGATTTTCCAATGGATTTGCATATAAACAATTTAATGTCTTATCAAAGACAATCCTAAGAGATACTACCACTCTGGGTCAGAATGGACCTGGGAATAATGACAAATAAAGGGTGACTCCACACTCCTCAAGTCTCACAAGCAGGGACATCACCAGATTTAGTTAAAGTCTTAACCAGGACAAGACTGAAGTATAGGTGGATGCAGTTTAAAGTCTTACCCAGGACAGCACTGGTCAGGACTTTGTAGATGAATTCTAGATAAAATCCCCAACTCAAAAGTACTGATGAACAAAAATGTCTGTCACTGACAATACCAGATGAGTTTTTCCAATATGTACAGTAAACCTTTGCATTATTTCAAGTGATCCTTTGCATTTTGTGAATATGTAGTAATTTAAATTTAACTGTGTTCTGAAGTAAATTTTCTTACATGCATGTTAGCACTTGTTTTAAATCTTGTACCCATTCTTAATTATCATTATCATCACCATGGATACAGTTTAATGTCTTGATCATGGACAAGATTGCCCAGGATGTGATTGTAATTTAGCCATACTTAGGACCAAGTTGGCCAGTATTGAGATAGCCAATAAGTGGTCAGAAAGTGACCAAAAAATGGATGCAGTTTAAAATTTTATCTAGGACTAGATTTGTCATGAGTGACCATTAAGAAATGGATGTATGGACAAATGCATGCAGATGGAGACTGAAGTACAAATGGATACAGTTTAAAGTCTTGGACAAGACTGCTCAGCAGTGACCATTATGTTGTTGCAGTTTCTAGTCTTACCCAGGACTAAAATGATTATTAAGAAATGGATGCAGTTTAGCCTTACCCAGGATTAGAATGAAGTTAGTTGTCAAAGAAAGTTCCAATGGAAACATATGTTGTATGTTATTATTCTTATAGGATGCATTTCCTCTAGCTATGTGTATGGAATATACATTTCCACAAAAAAGTTCAGTCACCCTGCCAAGTTTCCAGAATGGAAACAGGATTTTTAATTAATACTCTATAGTCTATTTGTATTTTACTATTAAAATCCATATTATATTGATCATTGCAACTTCCTCTTAAACTCAAGAGATATTCCTCATTCCATAATTCTTTGAAGTTAACATTTTCTCCCTTTCAGTGAGAGCATCTAATAACTGAGACCTGGAAATAGGTTCCATTTCAAAAGATCCAACAGAATCAGTTTTTACAGAAAATTTTCGATTAACATTAGGATGTAAAAAGGCATTGGATATTAATGGTAATAGTTCAGTATTAGGTGTGCTCTGGTCTGGAGTTTATAGTTACTTGTTCATCAGATTTGAAGACCATTCCGTGAGGAATCCAAATATATTTTGAAAAGTCTTGTTGGGAGACTT